CTCCGACGAAACAGTTTGTCACAGCCACTCGTTTGTTGTCCTCTTCTCTCTCTCTGCCTACGGTTTACCGGGCTGTTCTGTTTGTGACGATATATATATATATCGTCAAATAGAACTGCCCGGTAAACCGTAGGCAGAGAGGGAGAAGAGGACAACAAACGAGGGGCTATATATATATATATATTTGACGATATATATATATATATAGTCAGTGAAACTCTGATGAAACAGTTTGCCACAACCCCTTGTTTGTTGTCCTCTTCTCCCTCTCTGCCTATGGTTTACCGGGCAGCTCTGTTTGACAATATATATATATTCTCTTTGCAAGAAAGACATTGAGCTCTATCAATAGGTTGGTGTTCGACGGTGCTGGATCGTTCTGAGTGCCGATGAAGTGGCGATTGACCTGAAAAACAATGCATCATCTCTTTGTGGCCTCTCTCCTCGCATTGTTGACTTTACCACAATGTACACCAACCTTCCTCATGACGGCATTCTGAATAATGTGGCAAAAGTTGTTGATGAAGCTCATGCTTATGCCCTTTCGGCATGCTCGCACGCATTCACGCTGCATTGCCCTCAACATGGTTATTTGAGGACCTCGTTGTGGCCAATGGACAACTGATTCAGGCCTGGATACCCTTTCCGTTTCTCAGATTCTCCAACATCTTCGTTTTGTTGTATAAAACACTTTTCTGTACACTAGAGATGGCACGCTTCGGAAACAAATTATCGGTGCTGGGCCAGAAATTTCTAATTTGATGCTGTATTGGGATGAAGCACACTTTGTTGATGACATTCGTCAACATGATCTCCAAGACGCTCAGCAATATGCCTTCACCTATCGCCTCATTGATGATGTTTTTTCATGGGGACAATTACCTCCTCCACCAGAGCACTATGGGCTTGAGTGGAAGGAGACTACAACTACAAATGGCTCTTGTACCTTTTTAGGTATGCATCTACGGGTCCGATCCAATGGCTCGCTTCGCATGAGCGTCTTTGATAAAGCGGCTGCTCGGGACTTCCCTGTCATTCGTTATCCACGTGCGACCTCCAACATCCCCTGGCATCAACCAGCTGGTGTGTTCACTGGGCAATTGACCAGATTTGAACAAATCTGTAACAATTGGCAGGACTTTTAAACTGTGGCAACAACACTTACTCGTCGTATTTTTCGCGTGGGCATTCCCCAACAACCCTTGCTAAGGGTTGGACCTGCTACATGCACTCCCGCCAACGTCGCTATCCTACGCGTGTGACGCGTCTCTCTCAGTGGTTCCGACGCATGTTGCGATGGTCCTTGTATCATCCAATTTCTTCTTCTCCCCCACAACGCTCTCGTCCTGTCCCTGCTTGCTCATCTACTGCTACTGCAGTTTCCCCTGCTGCAGTCTCCATTCCTGCAGTTTCCTCTGCTGCAGTGTCCACTGTTGCGGTTTCCACTGCTGCAGTGTCCACTGGTGCAGATTCCGCTGCTGCGGTTTCCACTGCTGCAGTTTTCAATACAGCAGTTTCCATAACTGTAATTCCCCCTACTTAAGTTTTTACTGCTACAACTTCCTCTCTTGCAACTCCAATGCAAAGAACATCACAGTCTCTCCGAAACTCGCGTCCTTTACTTTGAAATCTTGCCCAATCGAACCCCCTCTCATCTCTTTCTGTGCGTGGCCGCAGACGGCTGCGTTCCTCCTCACCACCCCCATCTCCTCCATGGTCTCCCTTGCGAACAGACTCTCCAGTTTTCAGTGTTCCCATTGTTCCACCTTCGTTGCTAGGGACAAGTTCATCGTCTGTTTGCAACACCACCACTCCTGTTGTTGTGTATCGCGGACGACATCCGCGGCATCACCACTTGTCCGGGGATCAGCAACCTGTTTCTTTGTCTGCCCCGATTCTCTCTGTGCCTCCTTCACAGGTTGTTGCAGTTCCTTTGTTTCAAACGGCAATATCCGCTCCTATGCCTCCTGCAGACAGTCCAGCTGCCTTCAGGCAGCCACCACACCATGTTTTATACCCTGCGGCGTTAGATATTCACAACTCACGTGTACAACACGATGTGGTCCCTGCCCATAGTACACTCCCGACTATAGGGGCAGTCCCTACTGAGGATGCAGTCCTAAACGTTGAGGGATTGGAACATGATCTGCCCGGATTGCAGTTGACCCCACAAGGCGTAGACCATATGGGGGATCTTCATTGGGGTTGCTTCCTGACTTTTTTTGCGGGCGGAGCTGCGCTGGCTGCACCTGCTTGTTATTATTATTATTTTTTTAATGTGTCATCCTTGTGCACTGGCCATGCTAATCTTCTCTGTATCGTTCCAATTTTAATGGATGTCCCAAAGGACACAGAAATACGGTTTTTGAAAATTTTCTATGTAGATACTTCTCCAGACCAGTATGACCGCAATTTGCCCTTTTTGAAAAGTTTTTATGCAGATTTACCGGGCAGTTCCTTCTTTTGCGACAAATACGCGGGCGCTACCTCGTTTTGGAACAGAGGACCCACCTGCCTTGGAGTGCTTGACTCAGGCCAGGCAGACGGGTAGTCCGTTTCAAAATGGTATTTCTGCAGCTTTGCCGGTATATTTGTCACAATAGACGGGCAGACCGGTATTTTTGTGACGATACTTCTCCAAAACCAGTATATCCGCCATTTGCCCTTATTAGAAAGTAAGTATATGGGACTCGATGAAATTCGATGTATTGCGATGCAGCGGGACTTGATGGGACTCGATGGGATTCGCTGTGACTTAATGAGATTCAAATGAGGCTTAAATGAGACTTAAATGGGACCCAAAAGGAACTTAAATGGAACCCAAATGGGACCCAAGTGGAACTCAAATGGGACTCAAATGGGACTCAAATGGGACTCAAATGGGACTCAAAATGGGACTCAAATGAGACTCAAGTGGGACTCGATGGAACACAGACTAGCAGTTGGGCCTCACAGTCAACGGCCACCGTGCCTTTTTCTCCGTTTTGCTTATTGATTTGATAAATTGAATTCTTTAATTTTCTTGCTCATTTTCTGTGTTCTTATTATTATTTTTTATTTACTTACTATCCCTCCTCTTCCCGTTTTGTGTCATTTACTGTCGTGTCTGGCTATGCGAAGGTCCATATTGTTGATGGAACCAGCCCTGATCCTATCGGCGATTACCATGCCATCTGCAGTGAGCTGCAACTGTTTAATCCACTGCTCGCCGAGAAGCCGCAAATTGTTGTGTTCAACAAAATGGATGTGCCGGAGGCGGAGTCGAAATGGCCTACTTTCCAAACTGCAATGTCAGAGGCGGGTATCCCTGATGTCAGATGCATGAGCGCAGCCACAGGCGAGGGGACGGCAGAAATCGTGCGAGCTGCGCGGAATATCCTCGTCAGAGTTCCAAATCCTTATGACCAGGGGGATTACGCCATGGCAGGTGCAGTAGACAACTCTGTCAAAAGAAGAAAACAGACAAGAAAACAAAGCCGTGTGTCCCATCATCATCACTTTGCTCGTTCTGCACTATTTTCTTTTGTCCTGAGTTTTCTCCGTGAAGCTTCTCTGTGTGCTTCCGCGAACAAAGCCATGGCGGGCAGTGTGCAAGGGAGGTATGCACTTTGCACTGATTGCAGTGATTGCACGCTATTCTCAACGTTTTTTTTTTTTTTTTTGAATGCTGTTCTCAATGTCTCACAGCTGATTGAGTCATATTTCAACACGTGAACAAGTGGGCAGTGGACAAGTGGACACGTGGACATTGCACGAGGTTATTTATAGAGGAGGAGGAGAAAAACTTAAAGGAGGAGGAGGAGGGGCTTGTCGTTCCTCCTGGTACCTGATCTGTTCTTTTATTGGTTTAGGGTTTTGTGTTTGTGAAGGGGTTCTCAGACAGTGGATGGGCTTATTTATTTTATGAAGCATGCACAAGGAAAAGGAGAAAAGAACGGGCCAAGAGAATAAGAAAACACAGAAATGATGGTTAAAGCTAGGCTGTTTTTCTGGGCGCCCGGGCGCCCGGGCACCCAACTTGCGCCCGGATACGCGCCTGGGTGCCCGGCAGGGTTCCGGGCAGCCCCAGCGCAAAAAAAAAAAGAAAAAAAGAAAAAAAAAATCCAGAAAAAAAACGTGTTGTGTAGAATTGCAATACAAACAACTTTTGGCTTAGGGTCACATCAGAATTCCTCACCGAATCGGAGACGAAAAAGAAAATAACAAAATCACACTAAGGCACCCCCCTTTAACCCCCCTTAGCCCCTTCAAAACAAATTTATACCTGCCTTCCCCCCCCTTGACAGCCAACCGTTTAAAAAAAATGAAAAGAGCCCGGATTTGGGGTCCTCTGGGAGAACGCAGAAAGGATTTTTTTATTTTTATTTTTTCCACGCTCGGGTACCTCGGGCGTCACGCCCGGGTGCCCGGCCGGGCATGAAAATCTTCCTAGGGTTCAAGAATAAAAGTTGCATGCAAGGGTTTTTGTCATGTTGCTGTAAGACTTTTATACCTTTTACTTCTTTCCTTCTGTTTTTTTGTGTGCCTGTTGAAGTTTGTTTCATTTTTTCTTTTGGACGAGTGTGTGTGTGTGTGTCTGTGTGTGTGTGTGTGTGTGTGTTGTCATGATCAGGCAATTAGTTTGTCTCATTCGTCTACAGGAACTCATGGAATAAGAGGTCAACATATGTGTATGACCTTACTAGTAAAAGTTACTATCATTCTTCTTTTCAACTAACCCTGCAGGAAATGTGCTCTCTCTCTCTCTCTCTCTCTCTCTCTCTCTCTCTCTCTCTCTCTCTCTCTCTCTCTCTCTCTCTCTCTCTCTCTCTCTCTCTCTCT